CTGACAAATGATGTTCGAAGGTCAGCTGTGGGTCCAGGAGGACTCCCAAGTTGCGAACCCTATCTGAGGGGTGTAAAATTTGACCCCCCCCAGCCTGAGCGATGGAACACTTGGCCAATTAGTGGGAGGGAAGCACAGCAGCCACTCGGTTTTATCTGGATTGAGTACAAGCTTGTTGACCCCCATCCAGTCTCTAACAGCCTATAAATACTGTATATCAGAACTACTTATGCTCTCAGTCTACTCTCAGAATGGAGCTGACCACAATTGCAAAAGCTTCATTCCCTCCACCACCAGCCTCCAGGTTTCAAATACCGTACCTTGTATTGCCAAGGCATAACAGGTTTGTATTTAAATTACTATACTGTGGCTGGACTGTTAATTTTTTCAGAAAAACTGTATTGTCATTTCAGGAAGGAAGAACTGGAGTTGGGAAAGAGATATTTTAACCCAGGGCTTTTTTAATCTAGGGCTTTTGTCCAGTTATTCTTTAGAATCTCCAGCCAGAATGGTTAATAATAAAAGAGATTCTTATAGTTCAGAAATTTCTGAAAAGCCACAAATACATTTGGCCATGTTTGGTTTCTCAATAGTTGCTGCACTACAAACTTTTCTACCTATATTTTTCTCTAACGTTACCTGTGGTTAAATATGCTCCCTTATAATGTACCTAGTGGAAATGGGTGGGAGAGGGATGCTATCATTAGCATCAATGCTTATCATAAGCATTAAGACACATGATGATACAATGGTTGGAATACATTATTGCAGACTAATTCTGATGACTGTCAACAGTTCGATTCTGAGTGGCTCAATCCTGAGTGACTCAGCCTTCCATTTTCCAGACCATTAAAATGAGTGCCCAGATTTTTGGGGTAATATGTTGACTCTATAAATCACTTAGAGAGGGCTATAAAATACTATGAAGCAGTATATAAATCTAAGTGCTATTGCTATTGCTATTTTTCTCTCCCTCACATAGTTGTATTTCAAGAAAACAAAACATGTTTAGCAATTCAAGTAATGGGTAGCCTGAGTTAAAACCCTCCATACAATAATGACTCTTTAAGAAAGAAAGTTAAATAGGACTAAAATAACACTTATCTCTAATCCTGATTATCCATTGCAATTTTTAAAGGTAGCATGGAGAGTTGTAAGTAACAGTCAGAGGAAATGCAGTATACAGTACCTGATTAAAGCCAGCCATTTATATAATTACCCAGCCAGTCTAGTATCTTACCTAAAATAGAAACATATTGAGAAACTTAAAGCTAAACCCAAACAACATACAATGTGATTAAATTTAAATTAAATCTCATGAGCATTTATCTCATCTCACTGTGATTTCTAGCTTGGGTAATGAGCCAAGCTGCTCCAATGTGCAGTGCAATACTGTTTATCTTTTTGTAGTCTTCATAGAGATCAGCTGAAGTTCTCATTACTATGAATCTGATGGATGGCATCTCAGTGGAACGGCTTGCCTCCAGAAGGTGTAAATGCCCCAACACTGGAAGTCCCTAAGAAGATGTTGGATAGCCATTTGTCTGAAATGGTATAGGGTTTCCTGCCTAGGCAGGGGGTTGGACTAGAAGAACTCCAAGGTCCCTTGCAACTTTACTATTGTATTGTATTGCATTGTATTGTATTGTATTGTATTGTATTGTATCTGCTCTGATAAAATATACTTATGGATTTTGATATTTAATTCCAGACTGCAACAGTTACAAAAATGTTAAGTATCTACTGTTGTGCTGTTATCTTATAGTTTACAAAGTATTCATTGTAAAATAGAGATTTTTTAAATAATTCTGACTTTCTGTGATAACTTCCAAGAAGATATAACTTTTCCCTTCCCCACCCCCATAATCCCTTCTCTTCCTGCTCTCAGCCTTCATGTTCTGAAATTAGCTGAAACTCTTCAAAGGGAAGAACCCAATAGTAACTATAGATAACATCTTGTAGTTTGTGCAGATTAAACAGAAAGGATCCACAAAAACTACATTATCTTCTTGAATGAATTACCAATTGTAGAAGAACTCCCTAATTAATATCAATGAAAACTGTTTGGTGCCACAGTAGGAATCACTGGTTCTCTTTAGGAGAAACTACTGTTGTACCCAATCGGCTATAAATTGAAATCCCCTGATCACTTCTAAAATTATATGTAGTAATTTTAGATGTAATGTAGATATAAAGTAATTTATATCTTTACGTACATCATTAATGGTACCCTATGTCTATTTCTGACTAGGAATTAGCAAACTTTTAAAAATGTTCTTAAACTACTTTGTAGATCAAAGAGGTAGGGAATCAGTTATGATGTAATGATATAAGAGCTATGTTGACATGCGGATTACTTCAGTTCTATTATATTCCAGATAATGAGAGGATGGAGGGTGGAGCTCTAGGAATACCTTTTACTTTTAAAGCCCTACATGGTATCGGACCTGGGTACTTGAGAGAC